TGGTAGTTGGAAGTTGGTAGGAGACTATTATGTTCCAGCGTTAGTGGTTATGTTATGCTTCTACCGGTCCTAAACGAGGTCGACCGGCTTCGACCATAACCACACCTCCTTTTACTAGACTCGACTGCGCCCGCATATTTTATGTATACTATAGTATACAGTGTATACGCGTATATATAATACAAAAAAAGAAGGTAGACTAAAGATTGAACAAAGATACACTAACAAAGGACTCTGACTCAGGAATTCCATGCCGGGCCAAATACTCGTAAACTCTCTGGCTTCGACTCTCCGGAGATGAGGTTTAACTCGGGCCGATTTCCATAGGACCGTACGAAGCACGATAAAAACCGGTCGGCACGTAGGAACGTGTGCCACTAAGGAGCTCGCATACGGTTCGCGATCGTGGAGGACAAGATTGGTACAGACTGTATAAAAAAAAAAATATATTTGAGGTTACGTGTATATACGTATCAACGAAAGAAACCGCAATCGCGCGATTTGTTGTTAAATTGTTTTGAAAATTTTTTTTAAGGTTATAGGAAACATTTTACGAGCAAACAGTAGATTCCGTGGATTAAAGCAAAAAACAATTTCTATACACGTCATCGATTTTGATTAGGATGCAACCTGTGCAGATTTTTTTTCTATCGGGCAATTGACTGCTGTCGAAACGAAAGCAGCGATTCCGAAGTGAAGCGAGATTCGCGTTTTGCGGTATAGACGGTTAGTCACAGAAACTTGGAGGTAAAACAGTTATATAATAATCGGTAACCTGTAATGACAGCCATTGTCCTTTTACTGTTTGTACGATGGATGTCTATGGTACTGTACAATATCCATAGCTCGTAATCGACTTCGAGAAATGGCCGTGTTGGTTGCCCAAGCTTCTTGTCGCTGATTCCCCTTGCCCTCTTGCTGTATTCTCTTGTTCACGTAACTACTTGGACACGCTAAACGACTTATCATTACCCGGCTTATCGTCACGAAGCGGTGAACGCGTACCGACGACTTTCTCTGCTTGTTTTACATGACGGACCCTCACCATTCGAATACTCCGTGCTGAATACTGGAACACAAAGTTTGAACTGGACGCTCGGAGTCCTCGAGACGGTCGGATTAGTCGGGCGACCCGACGTTTTACCGAGAACGTGCATCGTCGGGCGACTTGTCTGTATACTCGACGCGCGGGATATTTTGAATAAGACGTTGACGCATGGTGCTTCTAAGTTTACCCGTCATGCGCAGTAAACGGTTTACGTACGGCTTGGTTGTTGAGCTCGATAAGCTCGTTACGATTTCTCTTTAGGAAAATGAAAAGTTCATGGTTATTGACTTTTCTTTTTTCATTAGAATATATTTTCACTCTGGTGAAAAGCGCCCAGCACTTCTCTTATACCTGCGTTCACGTTCTAGACACCCTGTAATTGACGTCGCCAGCAACATCCGCTATTGAAGATATCGTTATGCTCAGTTTTAATTACAGTTTACAAATGGACGGGTGGGACGGAAAGGGGAGAGGGACGTGTTTAAAACTATCTTAAGTACTTGATGGCTCTCGCTAAACAAATAGAAAAACAGTACACACGTGCTATTTGAAATCTATACTGTGTATCTCTGTTGAAAGTGCGTCTATAGAAAATATTTATGCAGCTACAGCAGCGACGTAATTGCTTCGTGGCATCCTAATGGAACTAAGACACGCTATTAGTTCCCGCCAACTTTTGAATTACGAGCATGGACGCTATGTCTTTATGCATGTAGTTATTGTGGGAATTAATTAAGTAGAAATCACGCTTACCGATGATAATACATCGTTATTAAATGACGCACGTCCTCCATCATTAACAGTACGTTTGACCAATCAAAAAAACACTTTCATTTTCACCATCAGAAATACATATGCTCTAACCTATTTTCTTAACTCGACACCGATAACGAAAATCCAAGAACTAACCTACGTCACCTTCGGCCGCCCACCTCTTCGTAAATGCATCCGCATGCCAGGCGGGCGCCAGCCAATTCTTTTCAAGACAGACTGCTTTGAAGCAGTTAATTGAGAATAATCAAAATCGAGAACTAATCATTCTCATTGGTCGAGATCCTTATAGCCGTTAACTCTTATCCTTCGAGTCGTCCCTTTATACTAAATCGACAGCGTTCCTTGACGAATCGGTACGTAACTCTTGGAGATCCTCAGCGGCTGCTACCCTAGGACGCCGGGCGACAGCTGGGCCTCATTGCCTCTCTCCAGCGGGGCGCTGGTATCGCATCCGTGAGTAGAAAAATCACGTGACAATGCATACCTGGTAATCCTAGAAATTGTGACTTTTTTAAAGCTACTTGCGATACCCCAATCATACGTTACGCGTTACAAATCTACAATATCCATCTACACTTGTATTATAACTCCGTACAGCAATGTGTACAGCGTTCCTAATAGCGATGTCTTTCACTTTGAGCATCAGAATGTGCGAAGCAGCAACGCGTGGGTGATGCATGTATCGTGGACTTTCCCTTATAACCTTACGATCATGAGCGGAAAGAGTTCGTTCAACGTGAACGTGCGATATAAAGATTTTTACAAGGTTCATCGTTAAGTCGCTAAACTCTTAAACGGTGCCTATCGACTAATTATCAGTGCCAGTTAAATATAAGGCAGCGATATATCTATATTTAAAACTGAATGCCAGTACGTAAATCTTGATTGCAGAAATTCCTTTCACTTATTAGATTACTAACGCTCCCTGATGGAAACTCTCATCGATCAACAATATCATCGAGCATAGCTCTTACGTCCCCGTAGTTAAAATAATTGTCAAGATCTCTCCGCGCTATCGGTCAACAGTCGTACTGCATTTTATTTTGCTCCAAAGTATAACTATACCTTTTTTTCAGTTCCCACTTTACTTTTTACATCTACGAGACCCCGTTCCCCAATTCTCATAAGGATGCCCGCGCGACTTCTTTAGAAAGCGGTTCTCGCATCGACGAGGCTCACCTGCGAGACTGCCGATCACGCATTGCGACCGTTGGGTCTTATCGTGCGATAGGAAGGAAGGAGAGGGTGCGATGCTTGCGATTGCGAGTGAGAGAGAGAGGGAGATTGGAAACTAGAGAAAATAAAAGAAAGAAAAAAAAAGTCGTTCACGATGAGCCGATCCCGATTCCCATTGTCACATTGTCCGTTTTAATTCCTACAGTCAATCCCATTAGAGGACATGGTTAATTATCGAGACTCGATCCGAGCGACAATCATTACGTAACTTCCTCGTCAATCTTTCTCTCGAAAAACGTGAAATCCAACAGGCCGACAACCTCCACACACGTTACTACCCATATCGAGGATTTCTAAAAATTCGTCATTACAATTTACTATCTTTTTCCCTCATTTTTTGGACACGGTGGGTGTATACTTATATAAGCATACGTGTACGTGGGATAGAAGAGCCATATAGGCTAGTCGCGAAATCGCCCACGGATGACGTTATAATTATTTTTAGTTGGTTCAGTGACGTTTTCTCTCTCTCCTTCTTATCCCGTTAAAAGTATACCTCCGTAAGGACCTTTAACTTTTTAGCTACTCCTTTCTCCCCATTCGTAACTGCCTATAGCTATGGCACAGATGATACCCCAATATGGCGTCCTTCGTTACGTACGATTATTCGAATACGAAGATTTGTCACGTGAAGCGCATAAAAATTTCAACCTGGACGAGAATTATGGGTATCCATGCGAAATCAATCACCAATAGGGATCGATGATCTCAACGAATTTTTTACGAATAGAGAAGTGTCATCAGCATGACATTTTGAAATTGGCGCCCAATGAACCCCATATCCGCCAATGGCGTTACCACCTACATAGTGAACCATAGCAGTCGATCTAGGATGTGATTTTCGACGGTAGCCATGTTTCTTTTTTGTCCAGTCGCAGCAGAAACCCGTAACAAGAATTTGTCAGTGGCACGTGTCAATGACCTTGAATTGAAAAATATTGTCATTGTCGAAATTTACATTCCTAACGTAATCTCATATGCACGGTACGAACCCCGGCGCGTTCGTTTCCGCGAAACTCGGCTGATTTCTAATTGGTCATACAAGGTGTAGAACCGAGGGTCGGGCACATGTCCCCGATATACGGTAAAAGAAATGTCTGTACCAAGCTTCAAAGCCTTGTTAACCACTCCGCATATACGGCTATTGGACATGGAGTTTCTAATTCTCAAGGCGACTTGCTCCGGGTGTTCAGGATTATCAGGGTTTCTAGGCCCGTCAAAACTCTCCCTACTTTACCGACGGAAACTTCTCTACTGGACTTCGTCACTTGAATCTCGTCCGATTTAGTACGGGACCTAGTTTTATTTTGTTCCTTCTTTCATCCTGCTTTGTTTCTTTCTTTTTTCTACGCCCCGAGACACCTCGTCCGGTTCTGGGACGACCTAATGGGCAATTCAATTAAAGCAGTCCTACTTTAAGAACGATGCACTCCAATCTGCGATATTACAATTGGCGAGTATCCAAGTGAATTTTTTATCGAGCTACGCCATTGCACGACGAATGAAAATTGATACCTGAGAATTGAAGTAAATTCAAATATTACTATGTATATTGATTTGGTATTGAAAAATTATAACGAATTCAAGTACGCTGTCATGGTTACATATGTATATGTCACGTGGCTGGGCTACACGACGATTTCTTCGCCAACTGGTTCTATAGAGCGATTGACATATCGTGAATGTATCCTGTAAAACGTGCTCAAGCTAAGCATTTTTTTTTCATGTAATATTTATCACACGACGTACTAATTCACTGTACAATCACGTCTATATATATATAATCCTTTTCGCATAATTTTTTTTATGTACTTTTCGTCCAGTGACATTTTGCGAAGCGTTGCTAATACATAGCGACCATTATTTCTTTGTCTCTCTTTAATCCATACTTTAAGCCAATAACGTCGACTTGTCGACGGCTCGTGCACTTTACTGGAATTACCTTGAAAGTTTGCACGCGAAAGGTTGCGAGACTTCGTCGCTGCTCTGAAAAGTACAAGAACGACTATTATGTATACTCTATATATATGTATATATATAAAAGTATGATTACAGAACAGATTATGACACAGTTGCGAATAGCGTTTCTTCCATATAATAAATTTACACCGTTAAATATAAGATGGACGATATATGTGTTTTCGAATTCTACGAAATTCTACGTTCTTCAGGCACCGACGCTTTTTCCACCGACGAAACTGGTCGGATAGATATCCATGGGTTGTAAGTGTAAATAAGATATACTCAATGTGACAATTGTCATGGCTGACACGTACAGCGCGACAGTAGTTAACACGAACAGGATAGTTGCAAGTGACGCTATTATGATTTCTACTGGTAACAATTCATTCTTCATCTATTTGTAAAGACAGGTCAAAAGAAACGTATGATTCGTGTTGTCGTTACATTGTTACTATGGCATCCATTGTCTCAAAAAAAATAGTTCCTGTATTTTTTCCCCCTGCAGAAATTCCACAACATTTTTATGCATATCAAGTCAAACCAGTCCCCTCGTGGAAGATTGGCGAGAGAACATCAATAGAATGAACAGTTATTTGAATAACCAGCAATCCAAGGTATTCTCATTGTTGTCCCACGTAGTCTTACGGACGAGCAGGAGCAAAGGCTGATTTGTGCATTCCTTGCAGAATAATTATAGTCCATGTGTGTTAGTAAATTTTTACCCTGTCGCACGTGTGCGTACATATGCGAAAAAGGTACAGTTGCTCGAGTCAAAGAGGTCAATGGCTCTGACATTCATTGCCCATAAAGCATCGGTAACGATAAAAACGAGAAACGAAATATGACTCGAATTATATTTAGATTTCATCGTAAAAACATAACCTCAAGCTAATCTCGAATCAGCATTAAATTGGATTTATTTTTTAAAATAAATTTCGAGGACGTTCAATAACAGGATATTTCTAATTATTTGAATACGTTTTGTCAATCGCGGACTTCCTCTGGGTATTATTTAACTCAAGGTTTAGTCAAGGCTGCGGACTTGCAATTAATTGATGACACGAGGACTATTCAAATTCAATAATGAAAATTACGAATGTACTTACCAGACGTACAGATTTAATTCATTTATCAAATTGTTCATATGTGACAATTGTCAATTCTAATTGACGAATTAACCTGAATAACGCTGTACATATAATATGCACTGTCAAGTCCTTGCATTCGGCAGACTGTCTGCTGTACGTTGTGTTGAGGACAAAGTTCCGCTAGGTGGCAGCACCGTGGCTCTCGAAATACCAAAGAACGGAACAGACCAGAACGAATAAAGATACAAGAGAAGATAGTAACGAGCTCGAATCCTAATTTATTGTCAATAGTATCGAATGCCTGACTGCAACATTTCACAATATACCGCAACGAGAAATTATTTTGCAGCAGCACCATAATAACTGTGGCGGCCCATTAAGTCGACAGGAATCCCTCTGGCTGTATAGTGCCACAGTAAGAGTCCAGGCTCCGTTATTTCCTATATAATTTTCAATTTCGGACTCCAACCAAGTACAAAGAACTCTAAAATGACGGTACAAAGAATTATCCAATAAATTAATCATTTTCCGAATGCCACTGCATACCCACAACCCACAATTATTCAATATTCACAAATTCCCTATTGTTTTTCCAGACTCTGCCACTTTTCACATACAATTCATTCCTCGGAACGAAGCACGCAATTCAATCGTAATGCCAGCATCTTACCTATTGAACGAAACAGCAGGAAGCAGTTCCTGCATCTATCTAACATCCATGATGATTCTGAGCTAGGAATGGACTAGCTGTTCGTAGTAAGGTAACATTGCGCAAGAATGAATATTAATATAAGCGACTATATTCGCAGTTAGATTAGCCAATGGCGAATAAAGTGAACAGGAGGTACTACTGGCAAGGTACCGTTGCGCAAAGTGTCAGTCGACGGTGATTTTCAGTTAACCAGGAAATCGTGAGGTCGTGTTCTACAATATAACCAAGAATTTGTTTATATATTCATTTTTTTTCCTCTGTCTCTCTCTCTCTCCCTCGAGGGGTCCTGTTGTTACACTTTTCGTCAAATTAATTTCTCCGTTACGCCATGACTATCTCTCTCTCTCTCTCTCTCTTCCTCATCTTCTCTTCCGTTCTTTCAACAGAGTATACCTATACCACACGTATGCCAAGGTATACAGTTACCCGACAAAGAAATTAAGCGTCGATAAGAGAGAACCATCGCAGATTCCTCTCATACGTGTCCCTCTCTCTCTTTCTTTCTTTCTCCGAATACCTACTCTCTCAATCTTTCTCTCTCTCTCTCTCTCTACTGCTACCTCTCCTCAAGCTGGAATTTCCTGTCGCCTTATTCCGTTAGTCCCGAGCATCCCGACGCTATAAATTCTCCCAGGCAATGGTAATAACAACAATAAAATAATTCCGTCTCTCTCTTTACGTGACTTGGCCATTATATTTTCTCCTTCGAATCTACCATCTTCCTTTGTTCCGCCATTCGCGCCCTTTCCTCTCGTCCGCGTCTCCGTAGCCAATTATAAAGTTTTCCCGAGACTTCCGTCACTGACGATATCGCCACCTATAAATCTCACGTCCATAATGCACCACTGTGAATAAAACGGGAGACTGTATCCACTGCACCTATGGCCATGCACGCGCAGAGTCCACGTGCGTGAGACTGCAGAAAAGATCCATCGGTGCCACCTAACAAAATATCGACATAGACCCCGTCGACAATATATGCGCTTTCTCTAGCTTTCCCACGTGTTCCTTCCCATTATTTGGCACGGCCGAGCGATATGCCCGCATCTCTCTCGGTCTCATGCAGATTTACCAGAAGAGACCTTGCACTGGTAGAAGTCAATTAAAAATCTTAATTAACTCGAATTCGCGTTATTATACATGCTATTATTCGCGTCTGAGTATGCAGTGAATTATTTTCATATAATAAAAAATAAAAAATTTTCATACACGTATGAAAATATTTCAAATTACAGACTCTCGTGCATATAATTATCCAAGCGATATATGGTACGTTTATCGCTATTGTTAAAATTACTACTGACTTAGATCATTGCTTTAATGATCTACGTGGGCAATCATGTCTCGCAAACCTTTCTCCAGTTCTGGTATGTCGACGTCAGCAATCTGTACCCGGGGGCAGGTGCGGATGAAGGCTGTGCCGAAATACTGAGATTAACACGTAATTCTGAACACACGTTACAGCGGATAATTTTAAAGAAGGCAGATACGTGTTTTAGTAAAATATAAGGTACGATCACTTGGGCCATACAAAGTCTCATGTTTTACTTGTACTGCATCGAACATCAGCGGTAGGATAATACCGCTGGAAAATGCCGGTCGAATAGCTTTCGAGACGTTGACATTTGAACCCGACAGAGAGAGAGAGAGAGACAGTAGGAATCTTAATGCAGGTCAAAGTTCAGCAGACTGTTGTTCCTTGTTCGATGAAGCCAGTCAAAGTAGAATCAAGAGAAAGGGAGTCTGTTTATGTGAATATTTTTTTTTTAAGTCACACGAATTTGTATCTATATACAGAGTGCGATGATAATGGCATTCACGTAACGTGCATAGCAGCCGACGTATCGAGCAAGCAGAAATATTTATGACGTGCTATTTTCGTCGGAAGTGGATCCGACGACTTCCGTTCTGCCTAAGCATAAGTTAACGAAAGAATCGAAGATATCCAACTAAGAAATATCAATGTACTGAAAATAGAACGGAACTTCCCTGTCTAGCGCGAAGAAGCCACCCTGCGACCCTCGGTCTTGTGATATTTTTAGACCTGCAGTTGGGTAGCGGTCGCTCGAGGGGAAGAGACAACAAGCTGTAGAGCGGGTAGTAAGCGATAAAAAAAAGTGAGAGAGAAGAGGGAAAAAGAAGTAGTAAGAAAAAGAAAATAGATATATGGTCGCCGTTAACGAAGACGTACGTGCTCTTACGGGGAGGGAGGATTAAGCTTCGTTTCCACCGACTGGAATGACTCACAAGCTTTGTATAGTTAGGAGTAGAAAAAATACCAAGAAAAAGAAGATCTCCATGACGAGATCGAGTCACGAGGTTGGATCATCGAAAGAAATCACATCTTTATCTGTCAGGGAGGAAGATTAGATTGCCCAAGGTCCCCGGTAGAGAAAAAAATCAACACACGTCAAATCGTAAACGTCACGCCTAGTCGAACGTCAGAAATTCGAATACCGTTACGAGAGGCTCGTGAATACCTCAGGGAATAAGGATAACCTCGAGTGAGGACAAACGCGTGTACCGCCAGGAAAAAGAATGCAGCTGGCAACCGGTTCGAGAAAACGATCCAGTGGCCGATCGCGAGTGCAAGAGGAAGACACAGGGAATGGCCGAGTAACAATAACAAGGAAGAATCTTAGATTTACTGATTTGCTGGTTATATTTTTTTACTACAAAAGTCACTTACCACTGAAATATCTTTACCCTCCAATTTAACGCCTGGTTCTGTCTCGTTATGCTTTTCCATGTGATGACGCGTACATGAAATACTTTCCTGGGACACCAGAAATAGCAGCCATCGTGGAAAATGACACGCGGGGTTGTTCCAGACGAGTGTTTCCGCCCCCACTGTTCATTCTTCAAACCGGATGTCGCGTCGAGACCATTCATTCGTACAATACTGACGAGTCGTCCGGTAATGGTATCCAACACCATTGTACTTGGTACAACGTATTCACATACGTTACTGCACACGTGTTACAGGGCGTATGACTTCATAAATACATCCCGAGCAAGAATGTCTGCGCATACGATGTGCAATCTTGCTGATGCATTTTTGCACGGTGCATCGGACAGTTAACTGCATGTATAGTGCAATGGTGCACGGGTATATAACGATAATGGAACGGCTGTCTGGTAAAAAAAATGGTGGGACGACAAGGAAAGGTTTTCCCTCGAGCGATCAGGAGCTCTGGATTAAAGTGACATTTTTTCCCCTTGGATTTCAATGGCCCCCACCTTTTCCTCCTTATCTCTACTTGACTGCTCGAGGAAAATTACTAGCTTTAAGGAAACGTTACGACTCTCGATAGAACGTGTACACGCGTTTACGAATATTACATGGGACGATATGAATATTCATTGAGACTTTCATTAAGAGTGGCACGACGTGTATTTATGACTGTGTGAAAAAAAAAATCAGGGGAAATTATGGAGAATGGAATATATACGTATATACTTGCAGTGCATATTATAAAGTAGGAAGATGTAAAATGCATTATTTTTATTTTTTGTCACTTCCGGATGAAACTCCTCGTAGAACGAAGGCTGGTCTTTCTGCACTGGTTTTCACTTCTTAATTGACCAAGATCGACTAGATTGAATAATGTACCAGTGGTATTAATGAGGACAGAGTTAGAAAAGCATGTAATCTATTCCCTGTGCAATAGTAAAGAGGAAAAGTGAATACGAATCTATCAGCATTTCTTTCATACGAAAGGAACGTCATTTTTTAACTTTTTGTTTTAACGCACAATACTCTTTATTGACTGTAGAAAAGTGGCGGGAGATTCAAATTTTATATTAGCTAACAGCACTGTGATCAAGTACCTTATGCCAAAGGCGTCGTCCCTCAAGTAACTCAGCCGGTACTGTATCTAAGTGTCGTTCAATTACGTTTAACGCGCGCATAATAAAGTGCATTGTACCTTATTATACTTTCCTTGCGCCCATCTCAGTCGACGTAAACGACTTCGACGCTCGACGAATACCGTGCTCGAACAAAAAAGCGTTGCTATTAACGTAACTCCTGGTAAGGAGTTAACGTAGACGTCTTTTCTTTTCAATGTCTTTTTTCTTCTTCTTATACTTTTATCTATTCCCCACTGCTCTCTCTCTCTCTTTCTCTGTTGCACTTGACAACATTTTCTTCCGTCTAAGAGTGAAACAAAAGTATGTCGTCTGCTACGTAACCCAGTAGGTAAAACAGATTAAAAATTCGTTCGTCCAAACTTTAGGTTAACGGTTGATTTTTATCCTAAATTTTGACAGTGACTGTCAGTGTTAATATATATAGTAAGTGGACGTCAGGAAGTCAACATATTTTTCAGCCAGAGACGAGATATGGGTCACTTCCGTTAATTATGTATTATGATACGGATACACGGAGAGACGGTAATGGCAGTTAACACGTATACCGGCAGAGTCGAAGAAGGTAACTTTTTCCGCTACTAGAAATAACTATGTAATTAATGACATCGAGAGATCGATATATCGATACGCAGTCACTGCGTGGAGGTTAGTCGAGGATCGTTTGAACAATTTTAACGTAAAAATTTATCAGGAGACTCGGGAACACAGTGAGAACATAGCATGGGGAATTTTCATTGAAAAATTGTAGACGTTAAGTTTCAGCCTTCGAATTACACGTTAATTATATTTCAACATATCTTGGCAACATTTATATGTTTTAAACGCAGCAGAAATTTTAATGACGACAATTGCTTTCTAGTTCCCAGGACCTCGGCGAGAACCTTACTGAGATTTTTGTATTATCACTCAGCTACCGCGAGTCTGATTGGACGTCAAACGCCAGGAGCTACGTGCTAATTAACAATTGGCTAATTTGATACTAATTTATCAAGAGACGACTCACCCGGCAGCTTGATTGTGGATTCCTTGAAAATTAAGGGAAAACCATGTGCATCTCTTACTATGTTAATTCGTCTGGATTTGAATGGATTTTTGATTTAATTGAGAATATCGTTACAAACATGCATTTCAATATTCACCTATCATTTAACATGTATGAAGCGGACGGGACTACCAAGGTTCACCTATCGCGAACGTATTTAAACATTTTTTATGTAATTTTGATAACAACCCTCCTCCTTTCCCTATACTCAAGATACGTGAGACGTAATCATCAAATTTAATTATCTGATAATAAACATTGATTTTTCCTACCTAAATACCCAATAAAAGGTGTATTTTTATAAAAATCCGGATACCATATTCTTATCAGGTATAGGTATGTGATATTTTCTGATATCAAATTGAGACGTCACGAAATTCATACAGATTCGATTAGTCATACAATATCGATAACTTATTACTATTCGTCATGTTTTGATTAATTTGAAGACGATTTCAAATATTTTTATCGATCATTGCGATAAGCTGCTCCTATCAGTAATCTAACTGTAAATCTGTGTAATTCGTTGAAATCTACTCCAAGGATTTTTTAATACTTTTCTGAGAATTTTCATTCACCGGTGTTACTTGTCTTTTTGCATGGTCATGCCGATACAAGAAATTGTTACGAAAGGGGTGGTCAGGGGCTCCCCTCCCAACCACCGGCCTTTATCGTAACCATATCATATTCCTGTAGACCGAAACCCAAGCCTTCATTTACCCATAGCGTAGCTATGTAACAGGACCCCTCACATCCTGCTTTCGTCAACTATAGTTATTCGTTAGGTACCATAATTAATGAGACTTTAGCACAGTTTAGCTACGGAAAGAAATAAAGAGAGAAATTTTTGGCGAACGATCCACAGGAATTCTGGAAATCGTGACGAGTTTTTAAAAGGCAAGAAACTTTCGCACGTCATGCTCTTAACCGTTCTAATCACGTTTCGACCAATAATTCTGCATGAAATAAATGAAAATAAAATTTGATTGACTTGACACATGAAAATTTTTAAATCAAAGTGGGATCATTGCACGAGAGTAAAAAATTGAATTTTTAGCAAAAAGATTAAACTGTGTTATCGCGGATCTAGATGAGATGGAGGTACGAGGTATGAGATAAAAATAACTGAAAGTATGTTTATTTTTAAGAAAAATAATTATATCTCATTTTCAGTCATATCCAAATACCCATTGCATGACGTAAAAAAAGAAAAAAAATTGCATATGGCTGAATAATTAATTTTTGTTAATTGATCATTATTTAATTAGGATCCAAAAAAAGATTGGTATCACACATCGGTTAACGATGTGTAATATTAAAAGTTTCATCACACAACAATTTTCGCTGTATTTGTCGTTAGGTAAAAGAACTCGTAGCTCGTGTTATTAGCATTTTTGTCATAAGAGTCATTAGAGATTCTACGCACATTCGAAATACTTTGAAAAGGGGAAGAGAGTACCGATCCGATCGTCAGATTCCACCAATGAAAATATTCTGCTGATTCTTTAACAAGACACGCAGTTACGTGTGTGTACGAGCACTGTGTTATGTTTCAATTATTTTAAAACGATCGGTACAACAGTGCACGGGATTGGTGATTAAGCAATCGTTCAAGATCGTCACTCAGGCGAATACGTAGTCAAGGTTTTTTTTTCCAAAGATACCCATAGGAAACAGAAATGACAGCCATTGAAGGTATATCGATCTCTTTGTCCTTGTCGCTATTTTGGTACAGGGAGATTCAGAAAATCATTACCAATTTTGTACGGTAATGTTAAATCGTTATCGGGTCTTATCGACGCCCTTGGATTTGCATAGGCGATCAGTGGTTTAATGATGTTTTCACAATAAATCGGTCTTCTAATATGGAGGCTAAACGGTGATTGCCCATGACAGAAACTAGAACGAAACTTATACACTCGAGTACACACGTCGGGTATTTACTTGTGAAAATAAATGAATCCTCCCGTATATACATGATCGGTATGGGTAGATCGGTAGACACGTGGAATCAGTTGCTCTATATGCGTGATAGTTTATAAAGGCAACAAGCGTGTGAAAACGCAGATTATAAAATTATTCGATGCATTCCAACTCGAAGAGTTGGTCACGCACAGACATTTGCGGACTTAAGGTTTGACCGTCTTTTATATGTATATACTTTCATACCAACTTTTCTTTGTTGTCTCGAAACGCGTTAAATGCCATTGGAGTTATTTTATAGATGGAACTTTGAACAAGTACAATTTGCGAAATGGGAAAGGTGTGATCTACTTCTTTACTAAGAATTCAATTATTGGTATGACTATTAATAGTGCATAGTAGTTGCTACATTTGATTCGCTGTGTAAAAGGGCAACGACGAGTGTTGCCACGCTGACTTTCCTTTCGTGATAGTGGATTTTCTGTGAAGAAATTTTCTTCTTTTTTTTTTAATACAGGTAAAACACGCCTTTATAATTCGTAGCTTTTACATTTTATGTTATTGTTCAATAGTCACAAAAGTGCAATAAATGCAATCGAAGTTGTATTTCGTACTATTGATCTAGCGGCGTCGTTATTATTTATGATGCATCTTGGGAAATTGCGAAGGATAACGGTGAAACGGTTTGAATTAGAAAAGAAACTTTGACTCGGAAATATAAAATGGTATCGATAAAGAAACTGGGGTTGGACTGTCTTTGTTTTTCGTAATACTGTCATTATCAGTAATAACGCCGGTATTCGAAATGCTACGTGTAATCAGTCATGAGAAAGGTAAACAAACTTTTGTTGCACCACGCAAAATCCTTATCATACTAATACTCCTGTCTAGTTCATTTTATTTAATATTTCAAAGATCCTCCTTTCTACTGTATTCAGATTATCTTGTCCAGTCATTACACTATATACTACCAATCTTATAAATCAAATTGATTCACCAGATACAGCTATTCAAATAGATTTGAATGTAAATTTACAAAATTGTCATAAGCAAAATATTAACTGCACAACGTATACTAGAAATACAATGAACACGAATCACTTAGAAATATACCTCGGTACTCATAATCATTGATATCACAGGTAAATTTTAACAATAATATTAAGCACGACGGAATTCGTTAGCTCGCAATTTCAAATAAACCATATTTATCAAAGTTACACCGTCAATGAAAACGATGTCCGAATAATAATTGATCTATACCAACAATGGATACTATGAAAAAGGTCTTACCTTTAGCAATGAAGACAAAAGCTGTAAAGGTACTCCTGGAGGTCGTCAGAAGTGTAAAGGTAATCCTGAGGCTCAACAGGCACTGTTCACCAGAACCAAAAGTACAATTCGTATTGTCTGACAGTTACGTGCGTGTGTATATCTTAACGTATACTAGATTTGTCACGGATGGGCTAAGTGGTGGGAGTTTGATAAGAATCATGAGCTATTTTATCAGTTAAGTGAAAGAAAGCCGTTTTACTTAATGTGAATCAAGAATTGCGGAAGGAGGTATTGCCGACGGCAACGGAACAGAAAATACGTTCACGTACGTTCGGCTTCGCCGGTGCTGAGCCAACTAACTGACTGACTGACTGACTGACTGACTCGGCAGCTAGCGCGTACGATGCTTGCATCAACACCAACCACTTCCCAGCTTCCCTTTCCTTCTGGCTTCATGCGACTAGTATTTTGCTGTATGTATATACATACAAGGTGGGCACATTCCATTGAAGTTTAAATCCAAAAGACTAATTCTAGATTTGGAGCTGAAAATTTTGTTGGAAACGATTTTTTTGGAACAAAAATATTAGGAATCAGGTTAATGGTTTATTGTGTGATGAGATTGGTTATATGGATTTAGTGGAAATTTTTATTGAAAGTGCTAGTTATGGATTTTTTATTCGATTTTAGTGAATAAATGAAAAGTTGTGATTTTTAAATATTGTTCTGCGTGTATAGGAATTTTATTTGATACGATGCTTTGTTTTATTTTTACAAGGATGTAGTGGTTGCTGGTGTAACTCTGTGAGCGGGGATTGTGTGTGGATGTGCGCCAGACTGCAGGACAACCCGTTGTACTTTTGTGATAGAGGTGGAAGTATTTGCAAGGGTTTGAATTATTCGTATGTAATTTAGATTGCTTTTTATTAGATTGACTTTTGGCGATTATACATATAGCGAACTAGGAGAATAGTAAAAATCGTGTTTAATTTGGATACAAAAAAATAAGCCGACCATAGTTTGAATTATCAATACCCATTTATTGATTTAATAAAATGACACGACAATATTGTGAATGCCTATTTTATACATTTCTTAGTGATAATGTGTCTGAAATATTCCACAAAAGTATCATGCATATATGATATTCGGTGATTATGTAAATAATATAAATGTAAATATAAAAAACTCAAATGATCTTACTGAATATGATAATACGGATCGAGGTGTTCACAAGTAGTTTCTAACGAATATTCTGATACATGACAGCAGAGTTTTAATCCACTCTCGCAATAATTGAAAATTCTGTACGAAACTTCAGTTTGAAGAGCCTAAAATTCTCAGCAAACAGTTGATGCGTTCAGAGATTAGCAAATCATTATCAGGAATCAATTTACCCAAATCAATCATTTTATCACTTTTGCTGCTCAATTTATGATAAACATTTTTAGCATGCACCAATTCCTCCAATACGTTTTTAAATTTGTCCTAGAATGTAATAAAGAAATAATATTATTTTAAACTTGTTTAAGTCAACAAATATCCGTATCAAAAACAATTATTTACTTACTTCAGCACCACTGTAATTAGCCACGCCAATACAACTGACACAACCCTTCTTGTGCGTGTGATATCCTATCTTGCGTTTGCCGAGGGCAAAACAAAATGGGACATCGTGCTTTCTACAAGTTCCGATTAGTTTGTATATGGACTCGTCTAATCCACCTAGTAAACGAACAAGTGGAGTGACAATATTAGCACTGTATTTGTCAGAAAAATGGTTATTTGCAAATTAATCTTAAGAATGCGAGTAGGAACCATCGCGAATATTACATAAGAAGATTCGGCAGAGAAGTATGTATCAAAATATTTGTTGACTAAAATAGTCATTCCTTGATTAAATTCGAAAAAACCGGATTTGTTAATTTATCCAAAACTTGTATATAAATCATCCACTGACAAAAATTCGTATTCATATTTGGAATTTCTTATTACAAGATATAAATATTCATAGGAATTTTTTAATTGTCTGACAATACCTTATTACCTATTAATAAAATGAGAATATTGATTAAATCAGGTCTGTATACCTTCGATTTCAACTTTTTCCAAATCCGGTGCTATCATGACAAATTTTACCTTTTTCAATTCAATATGCTTTTCCGTTTCTTTGATACCTGCGTAATATCTACGTTTGCATTTTCCCTTAATATTGTCTCTTTCGTATAATTTTCTCTGAAGCCTCACTATCTCTGCCAGAAATTTCTCAGAAGATTCGTTTAGGCCTTGTGTCAATATATTCGTACAGTATCTGTAAGAAAAGTGTTTACTTTAGCCAATTAGGTCGTAGTTTTAGCTGTGTACCATTTGCTTGACGTTATCCTCATAAAGACATAGGAAATACAATTATCAGCGAGATTGAGTCCTTTAATCTTTATATCGGAAAATAAGAATGCGTCACGAAATAGACGTAGGCAATTGAAACGTAGATGAGGGAAATGAGCGATGAATCAAATTATTGATTTCGTATCGATCTGATTATATGGGTATATACAGAAATATTGTTAGAGTAGGAACGAAGTAAGACGTTTATCAGAAAGTTTTTATATAACGAAATTTATTGGATTCGATACTATATAGGTATTAAGAGCTTGCATACATTGGTAAATCTGTCACAATATATTATGCTACTTGACTTAACTAGAATTGGCACATCATTTTCATGTATTGAGATTAGATGATATTTGTATTAGGAATCAATATTTAATTCAGAGGCTTATATAGTAACTCTCAAAGTTGTATTTGGTAATGACGTAGTTTGACAGATTTGACAGGTGATAAAAGCATATTTTATAACTGTATATATTATTGACTTCTCATGAATAATCAAATTAAGTTTTAATGAAAGGTCTTGATATTCTTACAAGTATTATGTTTATATGATAGACAGGTCCATTTGTAAGCAAAAATGGTGGATAAAGTGATATACAGGGAAAAAGCATTAAATTATTGTTATTAATAAGATTGTATAAATATAATTGTTCTTACCCTCACTAGTGTTAGTTCTAATCAAGTTTTTCGTAAGTAAAAATAAATTGAAGTTATTATCACACTTCATATCACACATGTATAATACTTTGTTGGCCTTTTAGAAATAAATCTTTTTCACTTTTCATATTATTTTTCAATGGTATAAGCATTGATAAGTATGAACAATTAAATTATATAATATACCCATCTTCCTAAGTTCATGACAAGTACTCACTCTCGAAACTTTTTAGAATATTTAAGCTGATAGTTTTCTTCTGGTTGTATATAACATTGTGCTGTTTCTCCAGTTTCATCACATATTTCCAGACACAACGTTTTGTGAATGAAATCTGGAGAAATGGTCTCAAAATTCTTTTGACTGACTGTGTCATTGTTTTTGGATATTACAAATTCATCTCGGTTTGTTTGAATGAGTAATTGCTCCAATCTCTGTGTGATACGATTTTGACATTGCAAGCTTTGCTCTGCTATAGGTTCAATTCTTGGTTTTCTATGATTGGAACCGTACAGTGTCATTCTTGACATTGATTGCAAGAAATCAACATCAACCTTGGGACCTACATCAATCTTTAATTTATCAAAATCAATCTCAGAGACATCCTTAGTCAGAGCCTGCATTTTCTCTAATTCAAATAATTCCCGTTTACGTATGTTCATTTGTGTTTTTAATTCGCGAGCAAACAAAATTGTTTGTTTCAACTTTGAGGTTTTTCCACGTCTCGAATGTGCCTGATTCAATTTATCTTTTACAACTCGACAGTTACATTCAAAATGAGAATTCTTTAAACTTTTTCTTATATCTAAGTTTAGGTGGCAAGTATGCATTTTTTTTCCTGCCCATTTATCAGTTTCCCAAGACTTGAAACGTGAAAGATTCTGAAACAGACAAAAATAATCAATTATCTAAGATAAAGAACTTATAAAATTTATACATATATAGATTCCATTGAAAATCACCTCAGATGCTTTGTGTAGATTGATGTATATTAAGTCAGAACTTCTAGGTTTCTTCCATGGTTTTCTAATTTCACTGGCTTCCTCTATACCAACGTTACCAAGCCGTACATCAATGATATCAGTCCCATTATTTATAGATAAACTATATTTTCTTTTTATGAACTTTTCACCAAGTTTTGGATATTCCTCGTCATTTAAATCTTCACGATATTTCACCAAAGAGGTGCTTCCCGTATTTTCCGGAATACACAATGGCGCTGTTTGTGGAGTGCTGTTTTTGCGCAGCAATCTTTCAGAAGATAGTTCAGGCCATTCCTCATGGTTCTCCAATTCAATGACAATTGCTGAGTTACCCGAGCAACGATAATGATTATGAGGATACATCTTTAATCACGTTCGAATTCACTTTAATCACTTAATCAACGTTGTACCACGCAACCTCACTGACACACATCCTTCCTTGCAAATACGATGATGGCGAATATTTGGGTAACGATGTAAACGTCCTCTGTCAAGCTAAATTCTAACTATTAATTAGTACGTTCATTCATAAGCCTCTAGATAGCCCGACATTCGGCATCGATTATTTTAAGAGGTAACAAAAAGCTGCCTACTTTGCTTGACTCAGGAAGATAAAGTCAAGTGAAAGAAGAGAAAGACAAAAATTATGAAAATTCTACCGTTATCTCCTACTAGTATCCATTAGCACTTAGTGTGAACAACCTAAGTTTTATCCCAGTAATGGAAACAGTCAGTTTCGTTCTATTAACTATCAATCACGGATGATTGCTGTAAAAAGTACTCATTAAATTACATTCAGCACATCTTCGTTAGGATACAATAATTGATATGTTGCATGTATCATTCTTGTTCAAATTCCAAGTAGATGAGTTTACCGGATGATTATAAGATTGATAGATCCTTCTTTTATCATTTTTGAATTTATCTACTGTAGCATAAAAGCATGTACCGATTCTGTGGAAATCTACTGATTCGACTTGGGAAGGATGAAGTCATTCCACGTTCGTTAGTTAGGTGGCACCACAAGCTGTTTGCTTTTGAAACCTGGCTGCAATATCACATAAAACTAACATCCGATGTATCTGGATACATCCATCCATAAATATGTTAGAACGTGTTGCATTGACAAAATAGAATGAAAGGCCCAGTAAAGTACTTAGATGAAATTAATTGTAACAAAGAAAAAGCATAGATACAAGATGTAATTATGTATTTAGTTATTTTGTATAGCGCAAAGGACGTTATTATGAGCGACGGCCATGATCTGTCTAGGCGAAAATTAATGTCCAACTGCCGGATATGGTTAAGATGAGAAAACAAAAGTCTCAAGCAATTTTCTGGATAATCCATCTACGCTACTGTCTGAGGCTTTACGAGTATCTGTTTCTCCTTGCCTTCTTCTTTTTCTACTGATCGTCTGCCTCTATTTCTCTTTGTCAATAACACAAAACATCGGCTGTGCCTAATGCTTGCTATATGGCATCCAAAAAGTGGGAAATTTTCTCTCACCGATCTGGACCTCTCTACGCAACTAGGCGCCGGGGCATTCTTTTTTATGCAATTTGCTACAACCCACTCTACGCGCTCCATTGCCCAATCCTTGGAGAAGGGGTTGATCATGCGCCTGCGATACCGTTTCCTAAAATCAATGACTCCTGGGGTATATAAGACCCTGTTTCCGAAACGCGTGCACCTGTACAGTCACGCTGATTATAACCGTGTATCTCGAATCAAAGCTCATACTAATCTATTACACGTACTAGACCTAAGGTTGCTTGTGATTTTTCGTTCCACCAACGAGGTATTCTACTAGTAAGATTAAGTCTAAGTTAACTTAGTTGTGTAAGAATTCCCATGATTTTATTTCGCGGACTACGTCGATCTCGAGACCGTGTACACATGGAAGTTACTCTACGCGTCACTCGCCGATACGTAAAGAAGATACTTGCTTAGGTAATTACAATTTTTTTACTACAGTATACTTATTTCCGACGAGCCTGACGCGTTTAAAAAAAAATATGACCGGGAGAAGAGTACAGTTTTTTTGAGCAAAAGAGAGCATTTTTTCTTAACGCGACTAGATTGCTCATATGTGATGAACTAGAGTCTCGAGCGTGCTGCATCTCGTACATATTCACATTGGACAGATTATTGCCGGTTGCACAAGTATTAACACTTGTTGAATGTCTACTAGACACATCACCAAAGACCTGTTGATTACTTTTGCTTTAAATCAACAAAGATTTTTGGAATTTTGCTTCTCCATCTACTTGAGTGATGTCCTGTATGGAATTTTGTCGAATTGCCCTGAACGCCCAGTACTCGCTTCTTGAATCCCAATAGCTTTTCCAATCAGCTTTTTTGAATTGGAGAATTTTTACAAATTTGATGAGTTATATATTTTTTGGTATTCCATTAGACTCTCTGAATTCCTACCAAGCTGCGTTAATTTCTCAGTATATAAGAAAAGCGCGAGTAAAAATGCATTGAGTGGAATTGTAATTGATTCAATGATAATGGCTACCGGTTATATTCGAATCGTCATTATTCCTCTGAAGTAACAATCCTGCTTCGAGGTGGTACCAAGTGCTGTCTTGAATAGATACAAAGGTAGTGCTGTGATTATCGAGGAGTGCAAATGGTGAATAAATCCCACCACTCCGCAAATATGATTATGGTTATTAAAAACGTTATTGCAGGTTGGCATGCTGCAATAATAATTGCCTACATCTCTCTTCGCGTGAGTACTCTGGCTTTTATCTTGAGGCCGAGTAACGTAAACGGGCTCCTTTCGAGGATCAGTAGACTCTTGTTTTTCGTGGAAAGGAATCGACAGGTTTGATTCGTGGGGGATGAAATAAAAACGATCCGACGGCTGCAGCAAGTACGGCGCTCTGAAATAATTATACAGTATTAATTTACAATAATTTAATATTCTCATAAAGAATTTCGACCATAATTGAAAAAAAAACAGTCCAGATGATCGACGTTCGTCCGCGAAATTTTGTCCCAATGTAAATGAACTTCTCACGAGGTTTATATACGCTAGGTAACAAAGTAATTGGATAATAGGTAAAAAAAACTATGAGATAAACCAAAAAGACTTGAATACTTAATTAATGCTGGCTCAAAGATTGCAATTCCGTTCTGGTATTTAGTTTTCAATTCCACACGTGATAACGTGTGGCATGGTGTAGGCCTCCTGGGGATACCCGCCATGTAAAAAAACGGGAACGCGTTCCGGCACAGTACCCCTTGGGTGACGAGGAAAGCTGTGCAATTTCTTTTTCATTCTCCTGCATTATTTAAGATTGTTCCCCCCCCCCCCTATATTTGCATACATC